AAATTGTATGTTTTTTAAAAAAAAAAAATAAGAAAAATAATAAAACTACTATTTATGGGTAGCATTAAATGCTGACCTACTTTTTTGCTACTAATTTTAGTAAATATGATGTCTCTTTATATAAGTATAGATAGATATCATTGATATATTATTTGTTATTTTGATAAATGCATTATTTAGTTTTCAATTTATTTTTGTACATAATAAATATTATTAAAAAGAGTTAATTTTGAAACAATATTATTATTACATAAAACATTTGATTCTTTTTAAATAGTACGTATTAATCATCACCATTTCCCGTATAAAGAGCAACTTTAGTGGTAAACTTCTAAAAACCTATCTTTTCAAATTTTCAAAGTGCCATGTCATCTAAAATCAAATTTTTACTCCAATAACTACAAAACCCAAATATTCATAAATCTTAAAAAAATAAATAAATAAATAAATTAAAGCAAATGTCTACAAGTGTGGCAAGTGTGGGCCATGGTTCCCAACACATGATTTGAAGTGCGTGTGTTTCCAACATTGATGTAAAGCTTTTCTCTCAAGCAGTGTACTACACATTCCATTAAGTGAACTATTTATATAATATTTCTCATTTTACTTTTGAGGTTTAGAAGAGGTTTGTGAAATCAAACTTGGTGGGGTTTTTATAAACCTCAAACCTGATCAATATAATGGAAAAGCTATGAGGTTTGTATTTGTAAACCTCTTGAAAACCTCTATTAAAGATGCTCTAGGTTCATTTATTAAATCATTATGACGCATCATACTTTTTAAATAAAATATCACTCCATGTATATTCATTCAAAACATGTTGAGTCTAAGTGGCAGATTGTCACTTTTTGGATGCTGACATGACGATAATCTATGTTTCGTAAATCGTAATATTGTTTATATATTCATTTTTTCTCTAAAATTAGGCTTTATATTAGACATAAATAACTTTTTTTTCCAAACTTGGTAAGTTTGTATTTATTTTTTTTCTCTTAGTACACATTTCTTTCTTAATTTGGGCAAGTAACAATCTTATTATATTATAATTTTCTCTCAAATTTTTCTCCTAAATTACGATTTAAAAATAATTTTCTGCACTGTCTATTTCGGTTTTTTTTTTCATCAATTAGTGCATCAAATTTTTAAACAAAAATTTATTTTAGCAATAACTTTTATCATATATTTCTTAACTCAACCACTGTGTAGTACATGAGTATTGTACTAGTCTATCTACTATATAATTAGGCAACTCACTTGCCATTTTTAGAAAGTTTTATGTGGGTCTTACTCTACTCTTACTATTTTAGGAAAGTCTCACATTCGTTTGACACGTGTTCTTATTTATATTAATACTAACTACCTCAAATAATATTTTATTTATTTTATCCATAACTACCCAACACCCCGTTATTTAATGATTTGACACGTGTTTATCAGTTTTGGCTCATTTTTACTTGAAAGGTACTTTTATAAAATTTTATTATATTTTGATTAAAGATTTTAATTTAAATTAGTTATCTAATTTTCATATTTATAGTGTATAAATTAAAATAATTATAAGTGTCCGTATGCTTCTTACCTGACTTTTATAAATTTTTTTATTTTAAATTTTGTACATAAATATTAACTCTAATAGTAGTGAAATTAGATAAAAAAAAATATATATTTTAAAAACATGCACAATGAATAACACACAAACGTTCTTCATAATAAATATATAAATAATTAACAACATGTAGAATATTTTTTAATTCATTTCTACAACCTGTAAATTAAATCTAATAATAGCGAAATTAGATATAAAATATTTTAAAACATGCCTAATGAATCACACAAACATTCTTCATAATAAATAAATAAATAAATAAATAACATCATGTTTGTAGGACCAATAACATAAAGTTTTACCGATTTGGCTAAAGACTCCTTTTGTAAGGACTCATTATTTATATTTGTGTTATTGAGTATTAATTTGTATGAATATTATACCTGAAGAAATATATATTTATTGCATGAATCGGTAATTATATCTTATTCATATAATAAATATAATATATATTTTAGTTATTGAGGAGTAATTTATATGAATGTTATACCTAAAGAACTATGTATTTACGCATGACCAACTTTATGTCTCATGTTCACGAATTACAAATGGGAAATGATTGAAAATATTAAAATATGTGATGATAAAAGTACCTCAAAGACGAAGAACGTTGTACATAATGAAGTGTTCAATATATTTCATCGTTATGCATTTGTATAAATTGCAAATGCTCTTGTAATTTTTTTTTTCGTAGCTCCCGTGCATTTGCACGGGCAACTGTACTAGTATATATTTATATCGATATTATTTCTTAAAATATAACATTTTTCCAATAAAAAAAATATGTTGCTCTTGTGGAAAATTGATTAATTTAGCTAATTGACCCTACTATTTTTTTTTATTTTTTTCGAAATGATAGATTAGATTAATAAAAGCACATAATTGCAAACTTAGATACAACTAAGAATAGCCAACCAAGCAACCATCCAACTGAATCTAAGGGAGCCATACACAAAGGTAGCCTAGAGATCTACACTAACGCACCCACAAACAGACAAACTAAACAGTCCCATACAGGAGGATCGAAACAGTCCTATACGTGAGAATCGATACAGTCCCATACGGGAGAATCGAGCTTCTACTAAGAAGAATAGACAAAAGGCCAACAAGGCAACCCAAAACACTACACAACACAAACACTAACAATACTACAATACTAAAATAAGACCCTCCTCTCGTCGGCAGACAATCCGCAGCAATCCATGGCTTGGCACCTAGAGATGTCTGCACAAGGGAAAGAAACTCAATCCAAGAAACCGAACCAAAAACTCCAGCAAGCGGCTAATTGGAACTACAATCGGACCAAACTCCTCTCTCGAACGACAACCCATAGACCAACACCAGAAGACAACTCCTTTCTCCCCAACTCCCGACTGACGATCCCATCCCAACCACCGGCCGAGACCACATCCCAAACCCACGAAACACAACCAGCCCCCACCAACCAACAACCTTGAAACGGGAAAAGGGGAGAAAAGGACGACACCTCGACCCCGACCCCCTCACCGGAGAAGGCTGGGACCAGCCGATCGACCTAATTTGGCGCCAACCGGAACCCGCTCCATCACCTATAGACGGCCGGCGAGTGCGGCGAAGCTCTACATTGGGGAGGGGGCGACGATTTCTAATAAGACGAGCAGCTCGGGCTGGTGACGGCTGGCGCCGTGACGCCTTGGATCAAGACAGAGAGGAGGTGAAAGCTCAACTGCGACTACGAAGCTTCCTAATTTGGGGAAAAGGGTTTTCGCGAGGATTTTTCACCTAATTTCAGGGATTTGAAATTTTTGGTGCATTAGCTAGGGGCCCTACTAGTTACCAAATAGACATAGGTAAAGGTGCCAATGCAACAAAAGGTTTCTGATACTGATGATGAGGCATTTGGAAAAGACAGTACATTATTATAAAAAAAAAAATCCACCATTTCATCATATAAAATCTGAAAGATTGAAACCCTTCCCACACTTTGATTCTTTTTTCCACTTTTGCCCCGTGACTCAATAAAACCCCCCCAAAAAATAACAATAAAAACAAAAGAAAAAAGCAATAAAGTAACCCTAGAAATCACACCTTGACATCACCC